AATTGAGTCCTCCGATAGTGAGCCCCACAGCGTGGAGGGCGGTTTGGGAAAGCTTTCTTTGGCGAAAATTAGTGTATGGGTCAGTTGGGGTTTTTTCCCCTGTGCACATGGCAGTGGCGGTGGATTGCAACGCGGATCTGCTGAGCTGGAGCGCTGAAACCTCGCGTCACAGCTCGGAGACTGCCGGGCCACCGAGCTTTCTCCTGCTCAGCGGTTACGGTCCTTCCAGGAAAGCTTTGGGCGAGAAGTTAGCAGGAGCTGCTTACGAATGAGTGGTTTGACTAACAAAAAGTGGTGTTGGAGATGAAAGTGGCAGGGGGGTGGGGAGGTTAATTTTGTTTTGGTGAGCTAGGTCAGGCATGGAAGAAGAGGCATTCAAGTCAAGCGCTTTCTCTGCAAACTTGGACATTTTATTCATCTTGCAGACCAGGAATTTCACATGCTTTAAATTAACAAGGCCTTAAAGCAAAATGCAGCCTCTAGTCATTCTGGCTTGTGAAATTAAGTTTCAACGTGCAAGAAATAAGCCTCAGTCTTCCCTAAAGACCAAATATTTGCAAAACATCAATTTTCCTGGTTCATAACTAAGTATCCTTGGCAATATCCCTCTTTATTTGCAAAAGAGTTCTTGACTAAGGAAATAAATAAATTTTGTTTAGGTTTTCATACTACAGACAGCTAGTTTGCGATAAAAATCTCTCTGAAATTGATAGCCTAATTGAGTATATAAAAGTAGAGAGAATGCAGTTGATTTTTAAAAATAGCCGAGATGTTTGTCACCATCTTGAGCACTTTTGATACCTTCCACATAGATCAAATCAGTAGTCATCTGGTTTAGAAACGCATCTTAGCAAGTATATTGGAATCTGAAAGGTCTGAGGTAAAAACGCTTCTGCTTTCTTGTGTTCTCTATTCACTTTATAGAACAATGTTTGTTTTAATTGCCTAGCTTCCTCTGGACTGACATTTCAATTAGAATCACAGAATGGCCTAGACTGGAAGGGACCTTCGAGATCATTTAATCCCACGTCCCTGTTGTGGCCATGGATGCCGATTACAGGCCTTTCAAATTAATCTGAAGATTTTGACTGTGAGTAGCCTTAAATTGGTTAATGGAGTACACTAGTTGGCTTTCATTAACAGCCAAAAGATATTTATGTATGGCCACAGCTTCCAACCGGCGTTCCTGAAGAGCTGTGTTTATTGCCGTATGTTTTCCAGCAGAGGTCCCACCCAGCCGCTCAGCTACCTGAGTTGTTGTGATGATGGTTCTGCCTTTTGGCACAGGAAAAAAAAATCAACAAAATCATGCTTTTGGATGTATTCTGATATACGCTGACAAAGCTGCTCATAAATCAGGTGTGAACTTGTATGTGGTTGTAGTTGTGAGAAGAAGATTTGTTGGTTTGAGGATTTTTTTCCTACCACCGCTAAGCAGCTAACGAGTGATCACTTTGAGTCCTGAGAGCCCCATCAGAAATGGGGTTTGGGCTGCACAAGCCATGTAGCATGGCTGTTCGCTGGATCTGGTGTTAGTTCTTGTAATTATGGTGTGTTTCTGTCTTGCTACACAACCATTTAACTGTGGGTTTTTTCCTCCCTAACTACTGTGTCTGAAGATGTCAGCAGCAGGAGTTAGCAGATCTGTGGGGTTTTTAGTGCCAGCCATTTTAAGTTTTGTGTATTTCAGGGCTTTCTTCTCTGGAATAGATGTGGAAAATGTGAATTTGCAGCAGCACTGCTGAGGACGTGTGTGCTGAACCCCTTTTATTGACTTCTGATGGGCAAGATTTAGGTTTCATCTCTTCTCTCAAGGTAGCTTTAGAAAGAGCACAGTAGGTCTTTTGACAGTCCGGCGATTGCCCCACAGATGATCAGTCACGTCTTTCATATGTCGCAAACTTTGAAGGGTCAGGGTACTCCTTTAGGTACTTCTGAAGCTCGTATCACCATCGTATCCAAGGGCAAGTAGCCCCGAGCACTTGAATATTGAATGCAATCTAATTACGGAGTGACGGCCGCATGACTGCAGTGAAAGAAGCAAAAACTGTTTGGTGTCTCAAAGGAGAGCAGGTTGCCTAATGAAGAGAGGGGAGAGGCAGGAGGAATCGTGCTCTGGCGGGGGATATTAGACTTGTTGCCGAAACGGAGGGGGAATTGGGAAGGTTTGGCAGCTCAGAAGGGGATTTCCATTAGGGGGCACGTCGTTTTTCTGATGGAGGGAAGAGCTGAGAAATTTGAGGCTAAGAATGGTCTGTTCTAGAATCTGTAGCGCAATTTTCAGTAGGTAACATTAGATCTTCTGCTGCGATTGTAGCGCGTTTACAGTGCACAGGATAAATGACCCTGTGTGCAGCCTCATGGAGGGTTTAGTTTCCAGCTGCTTCGCTGATTACTCTTCGTGTTTCTAGAGTAACAACTTGTGCTTTTTTTTGGCCTTTAAAAACTTACTTATTTTTTTATAGTCTCTACTTTTGTAGTACTTAGCTAGCATTCAGGTCATGCGTTTGGGTAGGTTAGTTCAGGCTGTATTATTTGTTGGTTATCTGGCAAGACTTTGTTATATACTTTAATGTGATGTTAGAGGCACACGTATATTCATATAGAAGGGAGGAGCTAAATATTTTCCTTCACTAATTACCTTGCCTGTGTGAGAATGGAAGCTTTTGCTGAGAAGGCGGTTTTCATTCATGTGTGGTTTTAATTCAGTTTTGGTCTTAATTTAGGTCTTTACTACGTATGATGAAGACAAATCCACGCGCATATGTTAAAATCTGACCTTTGGTTTGCTCTCTGCATTCACTAATGTGTTTTAGAATATTTTAATATATGGCTTTCCAGACTCCAGATCAATAAACCAGTGGGTCTGAAATGACAGAGTGCTACGATATTCCTCTGTAATTTAAACATGATTAGCTGATGAAGGTTATGATCAATATGCCAGGGGAAGATAAATTAATTGATACCATCCTTTCAGGATGATAAGAGGCCTATTGGAGGTGGGATGTAACTAATGAAGCTGCTTCTTCATATATATGAGCCATTTTTTATACAATGTATTCTCACTAAATCATAGTTACGCCATCATTCATTTACATGAAAAACATAAGCCGCAGACCAGTTTGTTATTAAAATTGCAGTCAGAAGAAATTGTATGCTTACACTGCTAAACAATAGCTCTGCCTGCGTTGTAACAGACTGAGGAAAAATAATCTTGGAATTTACATAAATATCTTCTTACATTTTCTGAACAAGACAGACCGGATGCTGTTTGTTTAATTACAACAAGTTTCTGTGTGACTTTTTAAGTAGATGCCAGTAATTGCTGCCGTTCTGCTCCACTGACCGGTATGAGTGGAGACTGTGCAGGTGACTACGGACTCCTTTGCACAACTTTCGTAAAGTGCTTCACTTTACAAAGGTTACTGCATGCAACAAAGCTAAATTTAGAAGTATTTTTGATTAGTCACTACACTAGTCCGTTTCTGAAGTCTGAAATTTTTATTACGTTTTAACTCGTGACCCTAAGGATAGGCAACAAATGTAGTGTGAGGGATTTTAAGTATTTATGACCTAAAAAAGAGCTCTTTCCAAAGGCCTTACCTGAGTAGCAGAGTGAACTGGAATTCCAGTGTATCGCGGAATGAATTTCTGAAATAGTTTGAATTGTTCAAATTGTGAGCTATAGGAGAGATGTGGAAGTTGCTGCATTTCAAATCAACTCTGTTTCCATTTTTCATTGAGTCTGCGAAGCTGTATATAGAGATGTTAATGATTCATCCCTGTATCTGTTTGATAAATGCTGCTTTGCTTTACATTTTGAAGAAAAATTCTTAATAAATTGCAAAATAAATTTGGCATTTTGCTGGTTGTGCTGATGCTGCTAAGTAATAAATCTAAAACTAGAAAACATGATGCAGCTTCTTTCCAGAATGAATTTGTGTGGGCTGTGATGTGTGGCACCAGGTATTTTATGTTAGGGACTCTTTATTAGGTTGTTATTCCAATTGTCTGTTTCCGGTGCTTTAAACTTGTGGTTTCCAAAACTGATTGTCCTGATGCAGTGGCTGGTATTTAAGCAAAGTCCTCCTTATTCCTCATCAGCAGAGAGTGCCCATCTTTTCCGAAGCTAAACCTGCTTGAACTGAGAGCGATCACATTCCTATTGAACCATCGTTCTGTGGTGTGGAACACCTTTTGGGGGCGAATCGCTAAATAGCGCTGAGAATCATTTGAACTTGATTGTTAGTCAAGTGTCTGCAAGAACATCCTAAAGAAGAATGGAAGACATGTACTTCGTTAGTGTGGTATTATAAGCATATAGTGGACATGTTATAGCATTCCTGGTATTACTTTTTGTAGCTTAGACACCTGCCTTTTCCTCCTTCTGCTTGGGTGTTACTGGTTCTCTGGTGCCCCCCAACAGTGTGAGAGTTCTGGGGCAATTTGATCCGTGCCAAGAACAGAGCTGGAGGAGCCTCACATGGAGCACAGTGTGGAAAACCAGCGTCAGCCACCTCGATTGGCTGTATTGCAATCTATTTTTGGAGCAGGCTTTGGCAATGGAAAACCCTAGTTTGTCTGTCCTGTGTTCTGTGTGGTTTTGACATGCCGTGTTTTCCAGTGTGTGTTATAGCTTACCTGCCTGTATATTCTGTTTTTCTCTAGTTGCTCAGAAGATTGTTGCAACAAGGAAGAAACAGCAGCTCTCAATTGGACCCTGCAAATCTCTGCCAAACTCTCCGAGCCACTCATCCGTGTGTTCTGCCCAGGTTTCTGCCGTACATATCAGCCAGGTACAGACTATAACGAATGCTTACTTGAAAAAGGAACTGATCGGTTCCTTTTCATCTAATGTATGTAATGCTAGTGCTCTTTTTGCTTGATAGGTGTTTTTTGAAAGGTACCAGTGGTCTGTAGTTTGAAGCAATTTTTTTTTTTTTTTAATTGACTTGACTTTGTTTCAAGAAACTGCTGCAGTAGAATAGTTTGGCTTTAAAACCCATCTTTGATCGTGCTGATTTATGCCTGGCAGCCTGCTGTTCCGAGCAGACCAATTGTTATGACAGCAGGATTTGCTGTACTGTGTTTTAAAATTACCTCACTTACGGTTTTGGTTATTGTTCTCATTCAGTTGTGTGCTGAGCAGTAACAACTGGTAGTTAGCGTGGTAGAATTTTACATTTGTGAGCTCTGTGCACAGTTGTAATTGCCTGTCTCTACTATGCTTGATTGAAATTATTCCTCTTTAATGACACAGAGATACACGTTGCTGTTGACTTGTAGATGCTACGTGTACAAACAAAATGCTGCCTTAGTGCATGGCAGGAAAGTCGGGTGGTCTTGGTGATATTTTTGGAAGTGTGTGGTTAATACCAAAATTTTCTAACTTGCAGTTTTCACCCACGTAAGTTAATACACTCTCCTGTATTTCCCTTGTGATACCCTTCCTCAGCATCTTTGTTTTCTAGCTATAACCTCTGTGTACACTCACAGTTAGGAACTTTGCAGCCAAGAAGTGGATACTTCCACCATTGGGTTAATTCTAAAGATGTCACTCTGGTCTTAAAGTTCTTTGCTTTGAGATGCCTTGAGTGGAGTCCAGACACCAACCTCAGACTGTGACTGTTACTTCTGCTGGTTATTCCCAAAGAAAATGCTGAAGTTCAGCCCCTCACCCCCTTTATAAGGCAGGTGCTTAGGTGAAGAACTGTTCTGAAGAACCTTGGCACTTTCTGGTGAAGTACAGGTTCCTCGTGTGGAAGAGGTTCTTCCCTTTCTTGTCGTATTTGACATCGACCAAGTTTCCTCAGTCAGTCTCTGACCAGTTCCTTGCCACAAATGCTTGGAACTAACCTTCTGTGTGAAAATGTTTTTTTTCCAAATGATTTCTTCCAGGCAGTTGTGTATGTTCATCCTTTTAGACCAAGAGGGATTGTGCTGCCTGTTGGGGTTATCTGAGACCTGTGCTATCCAGTGGTGAAAGAGAAAATGTGCTGTCACAGAAATGCAGAGAATGAAGGGCACCATTTCCAGTACTGACCTTACTCCTATATTCAAGAATCATAGAATCATTAAGATTGGAAACAACCTCTAAGATCGTCAAGTCCAACAGTCAACGCAACACCACCATGACACTAAACCATGTCCTGAAGCATCACGTCTTCATGTTTTTTGAACCCCTTCAGGGATGGTGACTCTGCCACTTTCCTGGGCAGCCAGTTGCAGTGCTTCGCTCCTCTTTCAGTAAAGAAATTTTTCCTAAAATCCAGTCTAAACCATCCCTGGCACACCCTGAGCCCATTTCCTCATGTGCTATCTCTTGTTACTTGGGCAAAGAGACCAACCCTCACATCACTTCCACCTCCTCTGAGGTAGCTGTAGCAAGTGACCAGGTCTCCCCTGAGCCTTCTCCAAACTAAACAACCCCAGTTCCCTCAGCCATTTCTCATAAGACTTGTGCTCTAGACCCCTCACCAGCTTTGTTACTCTTCTCTGGACATGCTCTAGCACCTCAATGTCTTTCTGATACTGCAGTGCCCAAAACTGAACACAGTGCTCAAGCTGTGGTCTCACCAGTGCCAAATACAGGGGCACGATCGCTTTTCTACTTCTGCACAAAGTGACTTGCTTTGCTCAGTCTGCTGATGGCTGCGTAGCTTTTCAAGGCTTTATAAGAAGGGCAGATGATGCTTTATACAACCTAATCTTAGCCGGCTGCGTCTCTGTATTCCGCATTGTCTTAAAGCAGTTGCGGTCACCCTTCCTGTTAACGAATCTTGTTTGACAAAGAACATCGAATTATGTAGGTTCTCGCCGGTTTCCTATCCATTCTAGTTTGAAAGCCAATACCAAATACCAAATTCTAGACAAGTACTTCACCTATGCAGCAAACTTCTTGCAGTGATAAGGACTGTTTGGGAAAATCAAGACAAGGTAGCTTTTGTGATAAGGATCCTTACAGTCTGTTTCAATAAAAATGGAATAATGTTCTTTACTGCCTTTACCAACTGGCATAATTATCTAACGGGGCAATTGCAACACCAGTCAAAGATGTCTGTCTTCTGAGACTGATGTCATCCCTAAAAGTATAGGTCATAAATCTGTTTCATGTCTCATTGCCTTTGTGCTACACTTAAAGGCAGTGCGACCTTGTTTAAGGAAAGGAAGCTGAATCCTTACTGTAGACTTAAAAGAACTTTGCAAGTGCAATTCCAAGTTTAAGGTGATCTGGGGGAAAATTTACCATCTCTGATCTTGGCTGGAAGACTGGCTGATGTCTTGCCCTTTAGAACATCTCTTTTGACGTAATGGTGTTTCACTGAAAGTTTCCTCCATGAATCAAAAATGTTATCATTACAGTGCCCTGCCACTTGCATTCTCCACAGGAGTGAAGGCCTTCAGAAGCAGTGGTTGCGCAGATCACTTTAACTGAAGTGAGATATTGTTCCTTCTCTGGTTGGATCGCTCGGGTGATCTAACTCCTGCAAACTCTCCAGATGATTCTGCAGTCAAGAGCTTAGACTTTAGGAAAAGGAAAAAAAAATAAAATAAGTGTCACTTTACCCAGTCTAGACCTTAGTATACCTTAAGGGAAATTCTGAGGCTTAATGCCACAACAAGGGCTTCTCTAACCAATAGTTTCCATTTTCAAATGGTCAAAGACCTGTTTGTGTATTTAGATGTGTATTTATACTCATGTCCAGTAGTCCTACGTGGTGAACACCTAGGTAATGTCCCCTTCCAAAAAATGCTCTCACGTAGGTCTATACTCATGTGCTCACTCTATATTTCCAGAGACCCGTTTCACAGAATGAGGTGCTTCCTATTCTAGTGATAAAATCCACTTGTCTTTGCTGTAGGTGCTGCTTCTGTTTTCCGTCTCTGACTTTTTGTCTAACGCATGCATGTCAGTCAGGCTGAGGGTTAAAGTTGGAAACTTTTGATGGCCGGAGTCAATAACTCTCGGTACAAGTACTTCACTTACCTATGTTGGCTTTCAGGGTGGCGCAGAGTGCATGCAAAGAATTTTATTTTCAAGCCCAAGGATATCAGTCATGGTTTGTGGTGGACAGAACTATTGTACACTCTGTCAGCAATATTGCTTTTGTTCTGCTAGGAAACAATCCGTCTGATGCATTGAGAGGTACTTCAGTCAGCAGCCCACCTTCTGTTTTTTCTGAATGCTTCAAGGCGTAGGCTGAGTTGTTTTGAGAGGAAGAAGCGTTGTTCAGTCTATTGAAGGCCTCTTACTGGCCACAGGACATCTTGACATAGCTTTTTTTAGTTTGGCCGTCAACAAGAAACACACGCCAGGGGAGTACAGATCCGTCACTTCTGTATCCAATGTCCTCCCCATCTCTATCCCACCTTTCGTTCCTCCCACCTGCCCACCCCTTGCCAGTCTTTCTAGGCATGATCTACCTGTAGACCGTGACAAATCTTATTTCAAAATAGCGCAAGTTCCCCTTACATTGCAAAACCACGTAGGCGTTCCTTTTCCCTAAACTCATTCCTGTTCTGAAGGAGTCGCTTATCCCTTGCACTGACATGTCAGGAAAGCGTTTTTAAGATACTAGCTTACAAGAATAATGTTAATACTCAACAATTCCAAAGGGCTTTTTTCTCTGCCCAGAGCCTGAAAGCAGAGATCACTTTGTTCCAGAAACCATGAGGCTGCTCAGGTGGGCACCACCTTTGGTCCTTAGAGCATTCCAGCTGAGCTCAGGATGCATCACATGTTTGTGTGGAGTGGTCCTGTACTGGGTGGCCTGTTGAGTAGTTACCTGGAGTTCTGCCTATTTCTTAGTTTATGTTGTTGTAAAAACATCTGAAAACCCCGTGGCGTGACACCTGTGGTTGCTGTTTGTGTGAAGGACTTCAGGCTCCCTTTAGACAAATGGGTTATGTGGAGATGCCAGCTAGGAGTCCCCAGCACTGTGACCTTACTGGTGGGCTACAGTTTTGAAGGTAAAAATGAAAAGATTATTTACCGGTGACTATAATTCCTTGAAATCTGTAGTCTGTGTGTATTTTCACCCGTGCTCCCTTTCCTGAAATTCAGCTCCTTCATGTTCTGTTGAAATGGCCTCGTGTTTCCACGTCTGCCTGTGCTACATGTCTTCTGCCATGACAAAGAGGGGCCCTAGACACCACACCTTCCCTCCCCTGAGTTCAAAAATCTTACCCAGGAGAGTAGTGAGTGCGGACTGCAGCGCAAAGGAAGTGTTGCTCTCCCAAGAGATTTGCGTTATATCCAAGAAAGGTACATTTTACTAGAGGTACATTTTACTGAAGTGCAGCTCAGGTATGGCTAGCACACAGCCTTGCTGCCTGCTGCAAATCTGTAAAGATAAGTTATTTGTGCTTCCACTATGCCTTCATAAAGTTTTTGCTACAACAAGACTGTCTAAATATGTAAATTAAACTATTAAAGGCAAAGTGCAGTTAGCTTAATCATCCATTATTTTACTGTATATGAGACCTGATGATGGATAAGCACTAAATAGTAGGGTACAATTACTTTATTTATCTTATTTATAACAACATGTTATTCGGAATGAAATAATTCTCTTTGGGGCACTTGAATAAAGAAGAGACTGTGTTGCTTAAATACCTTTTCCTTCTGTTTTTTTCATGTAATTGCAAAACAAAAACTGAAAGAGAAGTGAAAACAATATTTAATTCCATTGCAACATACGTCACAATCCGTTTTGTATTTATAAGGTTATTTCTAAGCAATCTCTAACATTTATTTAAAATAATTTGATATATATGTGCATGAGTATCTATTCCC